ACAGATCCATCTGATCCTAAACACAAATGCCTTTATTGTGCCGCCAAGGGTGGATCTCCACAGGATCCATCCAAGGAATTAACTTTTTGGCTAGCATTTTCATAAATGTGATAGAATGTCTGCCAGACATGCAATTTGAGTTTGCTATGTCTCCAATTTGACACCCGAAGTGGCTCTTTCTAAAGCAAAGAACCTTGTGTTGGGGGCAGGAGACCAGCAAGCTCCTTTTTTCTGGGTCACCTTCCTTCTTTATGAAAACAGAGAGTTGAACTCAATGGTTAGTGAAGCAACTTCTAGCTCCAAATTCCTATGAATTCCACCTTTCTTTGCTGACAACCATTGTCTAACGCTTTCAGCTGCTTTTTAATACCATGCTTGCAGTCATGATCATGTAATCCTATTCTCAACGTAGAGATGCAAAGAAAAAATACAAAAATAATAGGGAGGGCTACAATATAGTCTTTTATAATACACTGTTTTGTAATATTTAAAATTAGAATTGTATCTATTTATTGACTATTGCTATCCATTCTGACTCTGGAAATGCCAAGTTTTGAAGAAACATTAACTTGCTGAGATTTCTACCAAAGTCTTACAGTTTTTCTACAGAAATGAGAAAGGCAATGAATATGGAAAACAGCCTCCATTTCCTCATCTATATTAATATATATTAACCTACAGGGTTCTTGTGAGGATGAAGTGAGATTGTGCCAGTTGTTCATCCACTGTTGAGTGTTACTCAGTGCCGGGAGGCATTAGTGTTAAATTAATGACAACAATGAAAAACTTAAGTACATTTTTTTTAGCAATCCCATTTTCCAATGAAAAGGCCATAATTTTAGCAAAATCCTACCTCTAACACCAGTTCTTAGAGGATGAAAGTGTCCCATGCTGTGACCAGGGAAGCAGGAGCATAACAAGAAATCTTACAGAGGTCTCCCCCATTTTTTAAAACTTTACATTATGCCACTTCACTCCTGTGAAAGACCTACATTAGTCCCTGTTTTCGTTGACTAAAGATGAAGAGGAATCTTGCTTTTTCAGCAAAAGCCAGAAAGCCAGCATTCAGCATTGGCTGTGGGGCAGCCATTCTGCAGGGAGCAGGCGCCCTGAGCCACAAGAATGTCACTGCCACCTTTCTTCCCTGGAACCACTTTATATGCGCTGTGTACTCACCATAATCATTCCTGCTCTGTGTTATATATTGTATACTGTATGTTATTTTAGGTGATGCATGTTATTGGTATGATTTAGTAGGTCACTTTTTGGGTCTGGAAACACTCAGACATTTTTCCATAAATATATAAATGAATGATAATTGCTTCTTCGCTTTATGCCAGTTTGGCTTAGGAAAGGCTTCACTGGAATACTTCTTTTACTGTTGCTGGGGTAGACCTGTATTCCAGAAAAGGAGCATGAGAATGGAAGGCAGTTCCATCTGAAAACAGTTCTACCCTCTTAAATACTTGTTTCATGGCTATTACAGAGAATATTGTGGGTATAGGACACTTTACTAGCAGCAAGCCAATGTTCATACTCAGGACTTTTTCAGATTAGAAAGATCTTTTCCCTCAGGTTAACAAATGCTGTCCCAAAAGAACTCAAAATGTTCTTAAGAATTCTGGATATGCAAAGCAATAATTTTCAGGCCAAATCTTCTGACAATAGGTTCCTCCATATCTAAAGCAATCCATTATTTTTTATGTCATTCTGAGACCAGAATTCAGTCCCAAGTCACTCCACAGGGTAGATACTGAAAGCACAAGTTATGAAATACAGTTCTCCAGGCAGTTGTTGGGTGTGAAACCCTCTAATTGAACAACTTCCCTTAATAAAACAAAAAGCAATACCCTCCAAGGTTTTGAGGAGAGAATAGCTGAAGAAGAAATCTCTGGGTAGAAAGGAGGGGCTAATCCCCCAGTATTTTTTTTCTTTCTTTCAATATGTAGACCCTGGGGGTATACTGCTCTTCCTTTAGGATTTCAGCTCAATTACGAGCCACAGCAAAATCTATTTCCTATTGCACTTATAGCTCAACTAGAAAATCTTTTAAAAGGAACTATATTAAAACGATGAAGAAACAACAAATAAATGAACACAGTATCCTAAGTAACGAAGCTTTCAAATATAGGTTTCTGATACTGCAGTAACTAACTCATTTACTAACACATTCTTTCTTTTTTCAACATATAACCTTCACAACTGTTATCTTGTCTTACTATTGCTCAGCACTTGTGTAATCTTCTACCCTGGCCTGTTTCTCAACAAGCACAAACATTCTTTATTAAACTCAAATCTTTTCATTGATTTTTGCTGCCAAAAGTTCTCCTACTCAGTTATAATATCTTGTCAGAAAGTTGACTCATCCCTTCCCAACTCATTCTATTAGCTTCTGACTCATTTATTGTGATGCTGTATTGACAGCTCCTGCTCCAGTCACCCATCCCCAACTCCAAAACACGGAAAAGGAAGGGACATCTTTGTGCACCTATTATGGGGAGATGTGAAATATCCAGAGAGAATATTTAAAAAAAATGTTTGTTTTCTAAGGCAGCTTCCCACAGGAGGGGCCTCACCTAGGTTTGCAGGGAAGCAGAGCACTTTCCTACTATTTTCCACACTGCTTTCTTAAACTATTTTAGAAATATTTGTCTTCACCTATGCCCTGGCTATGATTCCTTCTTAATCAATGGTATGAAAGTTTTGTGTGCCCTTCTTCCCCTCTCTAATATACTGCACAAAGCTAGACTTGCCATTTAATATTCTGGGGACTCCATCTGCTTCTTTTTGTGGCTCTGCTCTCCGTCCTGAAGTCTTCATCACTGGCTCTGTGATGCTGCTTTTGTCTCCATAGGCTTCTATGCCTTGCAGGGCCCTGGGAAGTTTAAACCTTTTGGAAGAAAAAGTTGATTTCCTGACTGGGGGTTACTTGAAAATATATCCCTCTGGGGTGGAATACACATAGCACAGTACATCCTCATTCACCATCACATGTTCTGGGTAAATGTTGTTTCAATCCTCAAACCAATCCTAAAATGAAGAAAGATCTCTCAAATGTACACACAAGAGTACAAACACCACCTGTTTCTAAAGACTAGGATTCTATCACACATCACTTTGTCCATAGGGTTAGTGGTCTCCCCAATAAAATTGAGAGCTATTTTCAATGTTTTATTGTTAAAAGCAAAAACATTGATCTTTCTTTTTGGTTCCAATAGCTTTTCTTGTTGATAACCTTTAGCCTAGCCCCAACTTCTCTATCACATTCAGGGGTTTGTGTCTGATTCCAGTTGTCTCATAAACTATTCCTATGTCCCAAGACAGCTATCTGAATTTCATCTGGGGTTCTGATAGAAAACACCATCTTCTCATTTCTACAGCAACACCCTCATTGGGCTACAATGAAGAATACATTTCTAATCCATTTTTCATTGATCTAATCCCCTCTGAGATTTTCCTGGAATTCTTCAAACTGTTCTGTTCACCACCAGCCTGTGCTTGTTCCCCAGGGCTACTATGTGTTTATTCTTATTTTTATATCTCTTTTGTCATGTTAAGCACAAGGGCAGTTTATGGCTTAACAAATGTAAATATTGTTTATCTTATTTCTATATTGTGTTGTCATGAAATTTCTTTGTGGTGCCAGTAAGTCAATATAATTAAAATTCTTTAACTTGTGGTCCTAGTCCATATATTTGCAACAAATAAAATTTGGTTTCTATGACAATAAATGCAGTGCATGTTTAGGCAGAAAACCATAAATTAACTGAGCTGTGAAGGGGTGGATCTCAGCAGAAAGACACAAGAAGAGTAAGACAGAAGTGCAGTATCATTGTTCCTTGTGTCTGTAGCATGTAGAGAACTGGAGTAAAAACACAACATATACATCTGCACAGTTCTCTTGTAATCTGCCTGTAACAGTTCAAAGGACTTGTTATCTTTGAGAGCTGTCTTCTATGCTGCAAGTATTAAAACTACACACAGTAGTTTTAGATACCTATACTATTCAGAAATAGCTTAATTTTACAAATAATTTTACAAATAATAATTTACAAATAATAATGCAATAGCTTAAATTTACAAATAAATGACATATCCCTTTGTTGTGACTCAGCAATACTATTTTATGTTTCAATGATTTTATTTTTTTATTTTAATTTTTTAAAAAGATTTATTTATTTATTTATCTATCTATCTATTTATTTATTTATTTATCTAAGCACTGGGTACAGTCAGAAGCGCGGGAGGGTGAGAGAATTCACCAGAGCCAGAGCGGGGAGCAGAGCAGGCAGAAGGACTGAAGCACACTGCAGGACCCTCCTCTGGTGGCCGGGGAGCAGCCGGGGATCGAACCGGCACTGCAGAGGCTGCAGGCAGCTACGCAACCCAGCGCTCAACCGCTGTGCCACCGAGGAGGCCCGATGATTTTAAACAATTGAGGATGTAAAAAAAGTCAGGAGAGCTATCTATTATGATATTCTTTAAAAATTAAGTTTATAGGTTATAAAATTAAAATGTGAATTATAATCTCATGATAGAATGTAAATAGGAAGTACTAAGTGCATGAAAATGGGTGTGTTCACTGGAATTAAGCTAGAAAAACCAATATTACAATTCTAGAAATAAATATATGTGGTATTACTCAAAGAGCTAATTCAGTTACTCAGTTTTATAATTTTAGGTACATTAATTCTTTGGCCTTTGCTATATCTTAGATACACTGAATTAATCATTTAACCTATTACCATAGACATTGATTCTCAATTGAATAAAAAAAAAAAAAACACTGGATTTTAAGGAATTATTTCTTTGATGATTCTGATATTGCTTATAATGTGTCTCTTCCATAGTAATGAAATATTGTTAACAATTTACACACTAAAGTGATGTCACCTGAAAAACCATAGTACCTAGCATTAAATTATTTTGATTTTGTGAGATGATGTATTGTATACATTCTAGTTACAGAAAAATTAAGATCATAGCCACTATTAAAAACACTTTATATTTCAAAACTTTTATTGGTATAATTTCTGTAACTCTAAAAATTATCTCAATAATTTAAAATAGTCACAACATCATGGCTACTTACTGGTGCTCATTAATAACCTAAAATTCTATTGTTTCTGTTGCTTAGAACTCTTTTATTATGCCAGGCATTTGAAGCTCTCAGACTTTTGTTAATCAACAAGTTTCTTTTCTACACTCTGCACCATGAATCTACCATTCTACTCAAAACCTTCCACAGTACCACCATGTTCATTCCCATCTTTATTTTTTTCATTTTGTTCCTCAAAATACATCCTAAAATCATACTATTATCTAATTTCTACCTATTGTGATCATTCAAAAGATAATCCCTATCTAATTACTTATAAAGGATAATTAGGATCTCACCTCATACATCCAAAAATATTAGATAGGGCCTCCCTGGTGGCACAAGGGGTTAAGTCTTAGCACTGTGAAGCTGTCGCCAGTCACTACAGCATGAGTTTGATCCCTGGCCAGGGAGATGACCCACATGACTCAGCAGGCCTCTCCTGTTTTGCCCACTGCTCCCCTCAGCAGTGTATTTCAGTAGATGTGCCTGTTCTTCTCCCCACTCTGTCTCTGGTGAATCTTCTCACCCACCATCCCCACCACACACACACTTTTGGCCTATATTCCAGAAGTGTATGCATCCCTTGTATGCATAAATAAATAAATCTTTAACAAATATATTAGATATATTAAAATGTTAAGCATGAAACTGAAAATATAACCAAAGTAAGTGTATGTAAATATCTGAACAAAGAATAAGGTCTAAGTATAAAACCAGGTCAAGAAACTATAAATGATTTGACTTTATAAAAACTTTCATACATTAAAAACACCCATTGAACAACCTGAAATAGCAATAAAGTAGATAATGGATTTTTTAAAAAATTCTCTTCTTCAAATATTTCAGAGGATATCTGAAATGCTTATATCCAGCAAAACAAAAAAGTGTTACAAATAATCATATCTCCAATAAGGGTTTTCTACAGGTTTTTTTTTTTTTTTTTAGGGTATGTATTAATTCAGCTTTAGAATGATCAATACTTTAGGATGGATACTTTGAAGAAAGAGTTTAATAAGATAGATATTCTTATTTAAAAGTTTACATCTTACCTAGATTACAAAACGATTTCATGATCAACAATGTCAAACTTATAGTAGGAAAATACTATTTAGACATCACAGGAATGACAAACTTATCTATATTTCTGAAAAAAGAATTATTCACATAATCAATGTACTAAATTATAAAGTCATTAAAAGTTGTTTCACTAATCGTACACATTATAAAAAATTAAATGTTTTTTAAAAGCAATTATTGTTTATACTGTATATCCTGGAAGTTTATTTATTACTAATTCACAAATATCTTTGCATTGCTTGGAAATACTTAGCGAACCAACTTCATCTTTCTCTTCTTCGGAGTGCTCTGATGTACTGCTATCCAGGACATTAAATTCCAGTTCAGACAAATTAGATGGCAGATAAGAACTCACTTGAGATGTCCTAGGTGACTGGCTTTTTTCTACAGATTTGCAACTAGTTCTTGTGTTAACAGAAATGTTTTGACCCCTCTTTATAACTTCAGATGCATGCATCCAATTGTGCTCTATCTGGTGTCCTTTTTCCTCCATCAAATATGATGAAGATACATCACTGGAAGAGATACTAGTAGCTTCCTCCAAACTTTTATCTTGAGTCTTTGCATTATGCAATCTTTTATGTGAATGTACTGGTGATCCAGCTGAAAAAGGTGGGCTAAGAATAGAACTCTTTTCACTGCTAGTTTTTCTTATGGACAATCTTGTTTCACTAGACTTACTTGTATATTGACTCTGCTTTGAATTTTCTGCTCTCGGACTGCTATCACGAGCTTGTAAAATTCTGCTGGTGTCTTCAGCAGTATAAAAATCTTCAGAATAGCATGTGCTGGCAAAGTCATCTGAATATTTTAGTTCTGAGATGCTCTCAGAGCAACTATTTTTACTTGGCTTATTTTCATTCACATCAGCAGTAAGAATGTCATTGTCAGTGTTTTTCACCTGCTTATCACCTATTTCTTTATCTACTACAGTTCTCTCAACCAGTGCCACCTGTTGGAAAACATGTGGCCTTTGGACTTGCATTTCCAGTTCTCTTTCCAAAATATTTGTATGATTAAATCTTTCTGGGTCAATGGAATGTGCAGGACTAACAATTTCTCCCAAGGAACCATTATTGGTTCGATTTTCACCATTGTCAACCATCTTCTCAGTTGCACAATTCAGTTTCGTTTCTTTAGTTATAGTGGAGCTGTCAAAAACCCCACTCACCTGCTTTGAGGTATCACTATTTTCAGCAAAGGACACATTTGATTCTAAATACTTATCTTTAGACAGCTGTTGGGGCTCCCGATATTGTTTTGCAAAGCTGAACACTTTAACTTTGGATGACTGAATTCTGAGTCTTGCACCCAACATTTGTGTTTGCATTTTCCTATACTGTTCTCTCTTTTCATGTACTGCCAACATGTCAGGATTTGTCTGCTTTAAACGTAATTTAAGTGTGTTTGTTAAGCCATAAAGTAGCTTCCCCCTTGGAGCTCTTTTAGGGAGTGTACCACTGTTCTTTTGAAAATATTTATCTTTCTTTACATTTTCAACTTGGTTCTTTGGATACTGAGGAGTTGCTGACTTTTCATTTTCCCCAGCAGAAAGGTTATCTTTCTTAGATTCAGATTTAAATGTGGATTTGGCAGATTCTGGTGACTTATCCTCAGTTCTATATAACCATGCTAAGTGAGGATGTATATGAGTAGGTCTTGCCATGGGTTGATTGTATAACAAGGACAACTCAACCAACAAAGCATTTAACAAAGGCAGCTGGTTTATCATATTCATTCTATTTTGTTCAGTTTGATTACTTGCTCCAATATCCTGAATATGTGGAGGATTTATAACCACTGGAGGACTTTTGGGTGGTATGGAATTTGTATGATTTGGAGGATTAGTATGTGCTGGAGGATTTACAAGTTTTTCTCCCAGAGAGATACCATCCAGTTCCTCAGGTTCATTCATGTGAGGCTTAATGGTGATTTTACCCCGTACAGCAGGTACCTTTTCTTGGGTCAAATGAGTGTAATACAGAGGAGGAGGACAAAATATGTTACTCTCAATGTCCAACTCTGCAATTTCCTGATGCGAGGGACTAACACTCCTAACGCTGCTAGCATCTGAACCAACAGAGTTATTTTTGCCACTCTCCACAGAACTTGTATTATCAGGGCTGGCTTTACAAAGACAGACTATTTCCTTCAAGTCCTTCTGTGCCTTTAGGATTTTTAAACCCACAAGAGACCCGTCAGCATCTGTTGGCCTTGGCTCTGTGGTTGGCTGCGGTGGCTGCTGTTTCTCCTGCTGGGTTTGGGAACTGACCTCCACTGCCTTCTGCAATTCTATAGTTTCCAGGCCACCTCCAGTGGATCTGAGTGGCCGCTCAAGATGGCCCAACAAGCTGTTTCCCAGGTCAGTCAGGCGGTAGCCCAGGGCAATATCCCCAATGTGCTCCCCCCCTTGGTTATGCAGAGGAAAACTTCCTCGATGACCCTGGGAGCAGCCCGACTTGGCAGGTCCCAGGACTTTGTTGACAGCTGTGGCCAGTGAGATGGTGCAGGATCCCAGGAGCTGCGGGGTAGGTGTCGGGTCCCCGGGGGGCAGCTGCAGCAGCAAGATGTAAAGTGGGGTCCGAAGGAGCAGGCGGTGCAGGGTGGCGGGGTGCAGGCGGAACAGACAGGACTTGCCGCGACCGAAGCTGAGCAGCCCGGGACGGGGTTCCGGGGCCGGGGAGGCCGGGCCTCCAGGGGGGTAAACCAGCAGCGTGGGGAAGTCCAGCAGACGGAAGGCGACCGCCGGGCACAGGGAGCTGGACTGCTGCGGGGGTGATCCCTCTTCCTCCTCCTCCTGCTCCCCCTCATCCATTGAGACCCCCGGCTGCGGCAGCAGCCCGGCTTTAAGACGCACCCAGTCAACGAGCAGCTCCAGTGAGAAGAGCCGCTCGGACAACGCAGCCGCCATTGCGGTTGCCCCAGGAAACGCGGCGGCGCTCTCCGCGAGCGGGAGGCCGAAGGGCTTGGTTCTCGCGAGAGTTAGGGGCCAGCGCGGCGCCTGCTCTCTCGCGAGACTAAGGTGCGTCGGGGCCGGTTCCGGCGGCGGATGCCCCAGGCCTCTCGCTGCTCAGTGTGACTTGCTTTCCAACAGACTTTGTTTTGATCACTTATTAAGAAACATACAAAGAACCCTCAGATCCCGTGCAGTTTTAGGGTTAAATCAAATCTGTCTGAGATCTCTTGTCAGCAAAGCAGTACTCCCTTGTCAGACCCCAGATTTTATTTTTTTAATATTTTATTTTATATAATTCCTACATCATTTTTCATTTTTGCACAGTGTATGCATTCTCATTTTGGTTATATTCCCCGTACAATTCCCACCCTTCTTATTTTGGCCCTGATCTCTCCTCTTCTCTCCCACCCCCCATTAGTGTGTCTCTGGTTTATAGTTGCTTGTTGATTTTGATTTTTCTTTATTATAATTATCAGACCCCAGATTTTAAAAACGAGTTGACTGTCCTTCCTCGGACTTCTCTGAGAGCAGCTCTATCTAAAAGATGACACCCTGCTCTAAAGAGGCCTGGAGCCTCTCGGTAAATACAGTAGCTCTGAGATGCAATGAGTGTGGCCACAATTCCAGTTGAGTACTGTAAGGTCAGGAAGACCACAGTGCAGGTTTTCTGATCCAGCACACGGGGTAAAGGAGGAATCAGAGTCCTCAGCGGATTTTTGCAGGTCTTTTATTGGGATTTACCTGGTACACAGCAGGCAAGGGTCCTGGGGGGCCAGGAGGCTGGCAGGCCTCCCAGCCCCCAGCAAGTCTTCACTCTATCTGGGCTCTCCAGCGTTCTCTCTCTCGGCTTCTGCTGCTGCTTTCTCAGCTTCTCTTTTGGCTTCTACTGGCGTCCCCGTGACGCCGCCCTTAAAAGCACAGTCTCAGCCCAGGTGAATCCCATCTACCTCTGCCCACACCCTACTCCAGGTGCCCGCCATCAGGCATGCATTCAGGACAAGGATCCATCATCTATCCTGATGGCGGGAGGGCAGAAAAGCCTGACATTTTTCCTTACCTTACAAGTACTTTCCTATATACAAGAATAATGTTAGTGACTGCAGATATGTATGTATACATACACATATATGTACACGTAAGTATGACAAGTACATGTCACACAAGAGGGAAAGGGAGGCTGGGAAGATCTTAACAGCACAATCCCAAATTTTCAGCAAGCATACATGCTCCTCACAGTAAATTGAACTGAGTGGCGTTTTAAAGGAACACCTGTATGAGCTATCTATCATAAAGTACCCTGCTACGTTGGATCCAAAGCTGATGCATGGAGAGCCTTGAATACCATAGTAAGGAATTTGGAGCTTATTCTGTGTAAGTTGTTTTGAGCCAATTAGTGTGATGATGTCCATGTTCGGAAATGCAGCAGTACAAGTACAAAGGATGAATTCTACTAAGAAATAGATTCTAGAGCAATTAATTGGGAGGCAGTTGGAGTGCTCAGTGTGGGAGATACTGATGGCCTGATGTAGTAGGGTTAGTGAAGATGAAAAACAAGGAACAGGAAACATTTGTGATAGAATAACTGAGAGAAGTTATGGTTGAAAATTTCATGCTACTGAAGAAACAAAAATTGAGGAGGCATAGATTTGATTTTTAAAATGTTTTACTTGTGGTTTTGGGATATGTACAGTTTGAAGTGCAGACATTATATGTTCAAATTACAGAGTATGATAAGTTGTAGTTAAAGTACATTACATTGAAGCTCAAAAGAGCATCAGGGAGCTCAAGAGAAATTGCAAATTGAGCCTGGCACTGCAGTGTAAAGATAGGAGGGTGGTTCCATTGCAATATATAAATAGAAGATACTACCCTTAGACATCTTGGACTTGAAAATATTATGTTTGCAGAGGAAACAATCTATCAAGTTATATCCTTAATGGATGGAAGACCAGAGCAATAAAAAAAAAAAAACCATATTCGCAAATGAAGAGCACTGAACTACTAGTCCATGTGTGCCAGACAAACTCAGTAGATAAAATTATTCCTAGAAGGTATCCTGCAGCAAGACTTTTAAGTAAGGTTAATAATGTGGATATACTAGTGCATATCTCCTGTATATGGACAGGGAAACCTATGTCCCTCTTCCATAAAGGACATTTACTTCCATAATTTGAAAAATTTCTAACAGGATTAAAAATTCTCTGCACAGACATACTACATGATCAGTATTACAATATGTGGATATTTTATAATTACAAATAATGCTGAGTGTAACAAATAAAACTTACTATGACGATAGAAGTTTTACTGTGCAAAAATCACACATGGAGAAATAGCACAAGACTGACTTAGAGCCTGGGTTCTAAAGGCAAACTCTCCAACTCAAATCCTGTCTCTGTGACTATGTAATATTTTCTTAATAATTGGTGAATTATTTTCCTCATCCAACTGAGGTAATCATAGTATCTCCCTTATACAAACATTATAAATTTTAAGTGAATTAATATTCACAAAACTATTTGAACAAGTGTAAGGGGCAGGACAGGACACCGTGCAGGTTTTCTAATATCCAGCAGACCAGGTAAAGGAGGAGTCAGGGTATTCAGTGGTTTTTGCAGGTCTTTTATTGGGGTTCACCAGGCATATGGCAGGCAGAGGTGCTGGGGGGCCAGGAGGCTGGCAGGTCTCCCAGGCCCCAGCAGGTCTTCACTCTGGGCTCTCCGGCCTTCTCTCAGCTTCTCTCTCGGCTTCTGTTGCGTCTCTTTTGGCTTCGGCTGGCGTCCCCGTGACGCCGCCCTTAAAAGCACAGTCTCAGCCCAGGTGAATCCCATCTACCTCTGCCCACACCCTACTCCAGGTGCCCGCCATCAGGCATGCATTCAGGACAAGGATCCATCATCCTGATGGCGGGAGGGCAGAAAAGCCTGGCATTCTCTTTACCCTACAACAAGTATTTACTATGTGCCAGACACTATTCTAAGAAATATTAGTTATTATTTGTCATATGACCAACTTTTTAGCTAAGTTTTTTAAACACCGTAAGGGCAGGACTAGACACGGTGCAGGTTTTCTATGATCCAGCAGACAGGGTAAAGGAGGAGTCAGAGTCCTCAGTGGCTTTTTTTGCAGGTTTTTATTGGGGTTCACCAGGCATATGGCAGGCAGGGGTGCTGGGGGGCCGGGAGGCTGGCAGTCCTCCCAGCCCCCAGCAAATCCTCACTCTATCTGGGCTCTCTGGCGTTCTCTCTGCTTCTCTGCTCTTCTGTTCGTTCTGCTGCTTCTCGGCTTCTCTTTCAGCTTCTGCTGGCGTCCCTGTGACCCTGCCCATAAAAGCCCAGTCTCAGTCCAGGTGAATCCCATCTACCTCTGCCCACACCCCATTCCAGGCGGCCACCATCAGGCATGCACTCAGGACCGCAGGGATCCATCATCTATCCTAATGGTGGGAGGGCAGAAAAGCCTGACATTTTTCCTTACCCTACAAACACCCAGCATTATAATAAATCACTTATCTAATCTGGGTATATTGCTTTCTGTCTGTTAACATTGATATGCTCTGTCCTCTCCCTTCCACGTGGCAGTAGCTGGTTTTGTCAATGTCAAGGCACAGCTGGGCAAAAGACTATGGGTTGATGGCCATTAATACTTTGTTATATAAACCAACCATGCAAAGTTAAAAAGTTTGAATTTTACTGTGATGGCAGTGGGAAGTTATTGTGGTGGTTTTTGTGAATTAGAATGTCAGCAGTGCATGTGAAGAGAAAGGCCTGGACTCAAGAAATATTTAGGCAAGAGACTCCCTGAGTCTTACTGACTGGATGTGATGTGTGAGGGAATGGAAGATGAAGCGCAGGTTCCTACCTAGGCAATTAGGTAGATAGGACAAATTAAAAGAATGGTTTTCCTACTTGTTAAACAGGTGGTGAAGGAGGCCAGAATTAACAACTCTGAGTTTCAGTGTCTGCTATGTTGAGTTGCACACCTGACATATATCCATGTAGGAAGGCCCATATTTTATATATATGAATCTGTAACTTAGAAGAGCAGTATGGACTGGAAATACAAGTTTAGGAGACATTAAATAAAGATGGTAATCTAATCTCCTTATATAAGACTTAAATAAGTACAATGATGAGGTATTATTTTCTCCTTTTCTGTGTGTTATCATGGGACTGTGCATATTACAAAAATTTTTGACCTGATTTCTAATTGATTATCAGGATCAGTTATGATGTTAACTGTCTTTTCTGTCTCTTAGAGTAAAGAGAAACAAATGATGTCATTATTCATTAACTAAAGTCATATAGTTGTAAGGCATGATGAGACTAATGCTTTCCAGAGAAAAGCACAATTGGTTTAGTTGAGTTAATTGAACTGCAAGTCTGACTTTGAAAAGGCAGACCTATATGTGGTATCATAAGGGCAACAGACCCAGCAGATGGGATGGTTTAGCAGGAGTTGGAACACATGGCAGTGGTGGAGTTAAGTAGGAGAGCGGCATCATACTCTGGGTGGTTTGTTCTAGTTTGGAGCAGAAACACAGACATACGGAGGGAGAGAGAGCACCTTGAAGAGCGTGGGGACTGGCAAAACTATATTGATGGCAATGCTCTAACTTGTTCTGTTCACCTTCAGAAAAAGGAAAGTAGCTAAGGTGCTGTTGAGGGAAGCAATGTCACAACTGGGTTTGTAGACTGAATAAAAATTGATTAGGAGGAGTCTATAGCTCAATGGCCATGCAAATGCCAAGAATTACTCTGGAAGCACCAAGTACAAACTTCAGGCCCAATATGGGGGGTTGTGGGAAGGCATTCTTCTGCCTATATGTTTTTTTTTTCAGGATTTATTCTAAAGCCAGGTATAATCACCTATAATCAACATGGACTGAGGGGACTGGAGATGCCTACCAGGTAGAGGTCCTAAAACTGAGAAAAGAAAGGAACTTCGTGGAGCTAGCTCAAGGGAAAATGGAATCCTGTTTAATAATAAT